CACCCCTAATTCAGAGCTGCACTATTTAAGGTGGAAAGGGAAATTTAGCAAGATAGCTACCGGGACATCAGCAAACTACTAGTGATGTTTTATGCTTGTTATGAGGAAAAGGACCATAATACATCAAAACAACATTAAACTAAGATAATACAATGGTTATTGTAATTTTTAATGGAAAAAATATTTACATTTCTATGTCGGTTTGGAGTGTGCCTCTGAAAAACCTTCATTTGGAGGGTCATGTAGCACCAACAGCCTTGCTCTACCCCTCTATCTCAACAGAAACTAGGTAAGCCTACTCTAAGGGCTAAGTGGTAGAAGCAAGGGGTGAAATGGGACGGGCCATAATGCTTGTGTGGTTTCATATACCAAAAACAGCTGTAATTAAAATTTTTACAACATTCTTACTGTACATTTAAGACTGATATATGTAACTGACATCTGATTTAATTGGCTGCCCTGTATCTCAGTCCAGTTATAAGACGTTCCAGACTGAAAGATTCCATATAACTTCAGCATGAGTGGGCGGGGCTAAACTGCTGTAGGCTGTATAGATGGATGTATGTAAATGTGTTGGTTTTCATGACATCACAAGAACAGTGAATTCAAAGCTGGCTGTTTTTTTTGAAAATTTTACACTGTTTACATTTCTAGTTCTGTTAACTTCAAACATCAGAAGTATCAAGATATATATCATGTATCATGAATTCGATGTCCTGAAGTATCATGTTTGTTCATATCAAGTATGATGTTTGTGTCATATCACCCACCACTACTGTTTAAGCTTTTTCCAAAGTAGTTCTTCACACTTCATGAACATGGTTCCTGGACATCTAATTTCCAAAAACGTTTCTTTTCATCCATTACAAGGTTATTTAGCCAACTAAAAGTGGTTCCTCTATGGCAGGAGTGTCAAACTCAACAACTACAAGGGCCATATTAAAAAATCTCAACAAATCTGTGGGCCAGCGATCACCTGTGCTCTTTTTTCATTTCTAATTAACATTTTGCTATGACCCAAACTGGCCACTGTTTCTTTAAAATATGCCAAAACTGCAAAAGCAAAATACAGGCACTGGGCCACAGATGAGTATTCAACCACTTTGACCGAACTACACACCTGGCATCTTTTCTTTTTGTAGTGTAACTGCTATCTCAGATTGGGGGGAGTGACGTCTGAGCACACATTGCGCTGCAGTACGTGCTGGGGATCGTAGTGCAGAGCATTGTGAAAAAGGCTAATAAAAGTAAAGGAGTAAATTACTAACACATGAATCACTACTGAATGCCAAACAACCTTGCTGACCTCCACTTGACCTGTCTACATGTTTACTTCTTTCTACTTATCTACATGCATGCCCCTGAAACGCAATAAACGAACAGACCCCATGTCCATTAGGGCGAATAACTTGCATAATGCATAACTAGCAAAGATATGTCACATAACTGGAGTAAAGGAAACTGCTTCCATACTGTCTCACAGTGTATGATAAACACAGTCAGCATAAATGTGGGGTTGTGTAAATATGGGAGTGGAATCATTTCCAGGCCCTAGGCTTTTGGGAAATAAGAGATAATGAAGGGAATTCAGTAAGTTGTAGGCTGGGGGAAAGGAGGGGTGCCTTGGGAGACGAGGAAAGTGACAAAAATGTCAATGTTGTAGTCATGAAATGTTTATTTATATCAGAACTTTATTTTCAGCTACCAGATGTAGAAGATTCAGCTGTGAACTAACGAAAGGTGTCACATATAGATGGGTGTTTTACATCAAATCCAGCAATAAGTGAAAACATTCATTAAGCTGTGTGAAAGCATCTTATAGAGAGGGGTACTGATGGCCTGAAGCAGAAACAGGCCACAGGCCACAGACTGGTTGGGTGCCTATAGTTCTTATGCAACATAAATGTCAGGTGATGCTGACTACAGTGGAAGTGTTGTATCATCTGTTCTTCTAAAATCCATCTCTCAAGGGCTGTTAGTTAGGAGAAACACCTCCCTTTACTAAATCAGTCACTAAATTAGCATTTATCACCCTAAGAACATCAACAAGACATCTTCTCACTACACCAGAGCTGGAAAAACAGAAACCACTGTTAGCTCTACTGCATTTCTTTCATGTAATGGCATTTTATTAATTTAATTACATTTTTATTTGATTTCTCATTTAATGTTTAAATTCCTCTCTTCTAAATCTATTGTTTTTAATCATGTTTTTAATTTCTATTGTCCTACATCTTTTTCAATTTTAATTTGAATTATCTTTGTATTTTCTCATCTTTAATAAACTTGCCTGCCCTGCGATGGACTGGCGACCTGTCTAGGGTGTATCCTGCCTTCTGCCCAATGACAGCTGAGATAGGCTCCAGCGCCACACCGCGACCCAGAAGGATAAGTGGTTTAGATGATGTGTGTGTGTGTGTGTGTGTGTGTGTGTAATAAACTTGCCTTGCCTTTATTTCATTACTTTCACTTACAAGTATGCCTGCTTTTTAGTTTTTTCAATTGCTAACACTTTTACTTCTGTACTTCTAAGTACATTTGAGAAGAAACCAATCTATTTTCTCCTAGTTTCAGTTCATTTAATTTTAGTTTCAAATTAAAATGTTAGTATTTTCTTTTAGACCAAAAGAAAACTCACAAAAAGAAGAACAGAATCAAAATTTCTGCATAATTAAATGGTTAAGATGTAAACAGAGTCATTCAGAGTGGTTTGATGTGAAATGGTCAGTTCTAGAGAAACTTATAGTGTCAAAATTGTTCACAGTGGTGGCGATAGGAACCAGACATCTGAAGAGATTAATGCCATGATGAAAATTGAGATGGACTGACGTAAAAGCCTGAATTCTGAGCCAACTGTTCAGACAGAGGTCACATTGCCATGTTTTGGATTTCAGTACCACACATGGAAATGGCCGAAATCTAAATTGAAAACATCAGAATGAATGTGTTTTTTGCTGTTCAAAAAAAAAAAAAGATCTGGGCATTTTTTACCTGCAGTGTGAATACAGCCTAAACGCTTCCTCACAAAAAAATTATTAGCTGAAATGGTCATGAAATGGTCATACAAATCCTCTAAGAAAACCTATTTTTCAGATTTACCACTACTTTATCATTTTTAACATTTAACATTAAATGTAAAAACTCACAACACGTTTTGATTCACTTGTGGTTTTGGATGGTAAATAAAATGTTTTTCTACAATGAGCTATTTCACAGCAAGCCACTCTGACTGTTTACATCCCAATCATACACGCGCACACACACACACACACACACACATATAAATATAGTTTTTGACATGATTTGAAAATATCTGTTGTTCTTTATACTGTGTGTAAATTTCGTGATAAAAAAGACATGGCCCAGAATTACTTGGAAAAAATTCTGGTTCCATTGACCTACATTATAAGTAAAGTAAGTTTTTTCCTTCTCCTGTAAAGTTACCATTTTGGAGATATGAGGTTTTGTTCCGACAACAGGCGATATGTGTATGTATGTATATATATATATATATTATGGCAAGCCAAACAGGAAATATTTAATGAACTTTGATATATATACAATGAACATTGATATATATTGAATGAAAGTCGCTGTTGAAGGGTTGAGGATGGCCAAGAAAAACTGTACATCAATAAATGGGCATTAACAAACTCCAGGTGGAGCTCAAAGGGAGGGAATTCTGATAAAGTGACCAATATTTATACACAGTGATCCCGTGGACAGAGTGACCTGAGAGTGGCGGATATATGATGTGAAGATACAGATGGGTGGAGTTTCAATATATACATAATTTAACATGGTGCAGAAGAAGAGTCAGATGAGGCCATAACTTCTGTTTGAAAAATGCTCTTTTATTGAGAGCAAGGGAAAACAATGCCACTTGAAAAGCAACTGAAAATTGAGGTAGGTCACTCCTAGCCCTACTCTTTCTTCTGAGGGTCACCAAACACAAACGCACTCTAATTAACTCTGAGCTAGACACAAAATAACACAGTAAACACAAACACACACTGTAACTGAAGAACAACAACATAGCAACATTAAATAACAATCTAAACAGTCTGTTTGGGGGGGGGTACAAGGCTACAACACACACAACCCCAAAAGTCCCTCTCTGTCTAAACAAAACATTTTATGAATTATATTATTCATTTTTTCATCTCAATGTTCAATCCATGCACATCAATGTTCATTCAATATATATACATTTTCATTCAATATATATCAATGTTCACTCCATATATATCAAAGTTCATTGTATATATATCAATGTTCATTAAATATTTCCTGTTTGGCTTGCCATAATATATATATATATATATATATATATATATATATATATATATATATATATGAATTTAGAATCATATATATTGAGTTTTCTCTCTCTTATTACTGTTTCAGAAGATTACTTTCATTTTCGGGTGTCTTTATGATACTCTGCCAACTCCACCACCTGTGTCTGATAGATTGACCTGTCAACAAACTGCCTAAGTTGCAAGTAGCTGCTAGCCTTAGGCCAGTTTAAACATTCCTGTCCTGCTTGTGAAACCGAGCAGTGTTTAAAAAAAACACATGGACGAGATGTTTCAGGTGTCCACTCTCTCTCTTCTATACATCACAAATGAGAAGGCTACGGCTACAAAATCGCCCTGCAGCATGAATGATTGAGGAAGGCTGTTGAACAAACAGCCCACGGTTTCCTCGTTCAGTAACAGCGCTGCTCTCAGGCGCTTCCTCACAGCGCCGGTTTGTCTCTCAGAGGATCTTAAGCAGATTAAACTCTAATCTCCTTGCCGAGTAGCCGTCGAAGAGACCATAGCCGTCAACACCGCCTTCGTTCCCTGCACCAAAAAAGCGAAATAACTCACTTTAGTTCGCCTGTAGAGTAGCGGGTTTAGCTCGAGCTTTGCGGGCTGCATGAAGAGGGGCGTGGCCGAGAGCGCTCGAGCGCCATTCACAGCCGCTCTACGGAGCTAAAGGCGTGTTTTCTCTTTACTGACAAGTGGCCATATAATGGTAACTCTCGCAGTCGGGCTGAAGTTTGCGACTCGGTTGCTGTTGGCAAGTTGGGAACTTTCTTCCTTTCGAGGGCTCTGCTGAGTACGTTCGCTGGTGGACTTGAACGACGATGGCTGCACACTCCGTGGACGATGAGCCTACTTTTGGAAAGCCAAAGGTGGGTTCTGGTTGGTTTCTTCGTGGGGTGTGGGGGGTGCTGGACAGGAACTGGGTCTGCAGAACGGTTTCCATTCATTGAAACGTTTCTTTCGGAGCTGCAAACCACGTGTTAGAGGGGTGTTGCAATGCAAGGGTTGCGGTCTTGTACATACAGCACATTTGGTATGGGCTCATGTTGAGCTCAGGAATGTGGTTGCATCTCTACAGCTGGAAAGTCTTAACCTTATTTTGCTATGCTGCTATTTTCACAGTTAGAAAGTGAAAGGAAACACACTGGCAGTGTAGTTTGAGGGAAAAAGTGATGGTTTGGGACGGTGGTGCCCAGTCTTGGCTCTGGAGTCCACCGTGCCCGTCTCTTTTTAGTGTGTTCCCGTATCTGTATTGTGTCCACGTTACATTTTGTAAAGGGAGTCTTCACAGTACAGTTGCCTTTTACATTTTTAGTAGAATACTTTTAAAATACATACCCATTAAGTGTAAAAGTATACACCATCTTTACAAACACTGAAAGACCCAGGAAACCTAAACCCGTATTTTCTTTTTAATAAGGCTGATCTTGTTCTTGCAGGCAAACAGTAAACCAGTACCAAGTAAACCCTTTTAAATGACGTTCCAATGATCACTAAATGGCCGATGTATTTTACCATATTCCTGGTCCTAATCTTGGGTAACTCTTCCCTAAGCATTCCCCTGACCAATCACAGAGCTGATATCCTTTGCCCCGCCCACACACAACCGTTATAGAGACATAAACTGAGCGAACTAAAGCTAACCTAGCATAACAAAAAAGCTAGCAAGCTAAACTACGTGTCTGTAGCCGCCTTTTGGCCGTTCATTTGTTTATCCATGCACAAACATTGCTTGTTCGTCCATTCGTCCGTCTGCACATCTGTTAGTGACTTTTTTTGTCCAGTTCGCATCACATTAAAGCTGGATAATGATTTTAGCTCTGTTTGAGCAGCAGAGCAGGCTAGTAGTGGTGGGCAGAGTGCTGTCAATCAACCTGCTCATTAGTCACACCCACTCAGATCTGATCAGCGGTTTTTAAGCCATGTTTTATCATATTTTTATCATATTTTACATTCAGGCTTTGCTGGATTTTTAATTTAACACTCACGTGTAGTATTCTACAAACATTTTTTATATTTTACTCTGTGTTCCCTGGGACTTGAAGTTCTTACTAAAGCCTGAGTAGACTGATAAGTAAAGGTAATGAGTCGGTGATTTAATCTAAGTGTTACTGAGTTTTGAAGGATGATCAAACAAGTAATCTCCTCAGTAGTGGACATGTTTGCAGGTGATAAGCATCAGTGTTGTACTGGACTCCTGCAAGGGGAATGGCGTGAGCAGCAGTGGACTGAAGCAGGAGAATTTTCTGAAATTTGTTTAAATGATAAGTGATTTTTCATTAAATATATTACATATAGAAAACGCCAGCCAGTAACAGTGAGGAACATTGTGAATTAAGCAGATTTTCCCATGTGCCTTACCAAGATGTATTGTAAATATATTGTATACGTGTGTTGAATATGTTGTGTTTTTACGCATTGTAAAGGGATACATTAATGAATACATTTAGGACAGTGTATTTTGTGTTCCTAACACACCTGATCCAACTAAGCAGGTACTTAGCAAGCCCTTCCTGAGTTGAAGTGGGCATTTCAGGGCAGAGGGTACTCCGGGACCTGTGGTTTAGGGGATACTTTAGAAAATGGGCGATGAGATCTATGAGGTACAGACCTTTCTGGTCTACTGGTACATTCATGAAAGCATGCATGAAGCAAGTCCTACAATAACTATTGATTCAGAATGTTAAGTATTTGTATTGATCCGGAAATCCTAGTGCTACCTTGATCACAAAAGTGATGCCATGCAGCTGGATGCTGAGGACCACAAATGGAGCAAGAGCACAGAGAGGGCACTGCAAGAACTACCCTCCCCCTTGTCATGCCCTTTGGAGTCATTGAACTGAACTGACTCAGCATGCAGAGGGCAATGCAGCGGACTGATACAAGGGCTTGGCTGATAAGCAGTTATCTTCCTAACTGAAACGTGAGGGCGTACATAGCCTTTGTGCTCCCCTTGGTCATATTACACTGGCCTCATCAAGATTCTGGCATCAGGCAGCACGAAAGCTAATCCCAACTGAGTATCGATTGTGTAATTGAAGTGATCTCATAAGCCTTAAGCTGCCAGCTTCCTGGAGCCCGCCCCCCACCCCCCCAGGACAGCATAGTGACACAAGACAATGCTTTTTTCCATTCTCTACATCTTATTACACCAACCAGGAAACAAAAGCAGTATCCTGAAGAAATGAGCAACTTACTCAAACTTGAACACGTGTAGTATTGTTTTGTGAAAATAAAAAGGAAATATGCTGTCAGTGGTTTTGCTCATCATTTAGACAGGTCCTTGTAGGTCACTTGCATAATAGAAACAAGCTGTTTAATGTCAGATGATTTCTGGGGTTTGCGGTTTCACTTCTCAAAAGAAATGTTGCCCCACAGACTTGAATTGGAAGAATACATGAAATTGTAAGCCTGGCCATTCAAAGAAAACAATTAAGATGGATACTCTGGGGAGCTGCGGCTTTGCTGGACGATGTGGAATAACAACAATATTGGGTGTATTTTACAGCCAGAGCTCACTATTGAGAAACGCAGGGTCATATACCCTGCATTTCTCAATAGTGAGCTCTGGCTGTTAGGGTTGAACGATTTGGGGAAAAACTAATTGCAATTTTCTGACTAACATTGCAATTATTTGCAATTCAAACTGTGATAATTTTTTTATAAATTAAGGTTCCAGCATGTTTTTTGGCCAAGAATATCCACTTTTTCTGTCTTGACCCCTGAATATAGTGTGCCAGAGTGCCAGTAAGTTGTGATTGTGATGTCACTATCTGCAGGCAGTTCATAGCTCTGTGTTAAATTAAATCTCCCCACTTAAAAAATAAGACAACATTTTGGTAATGTAGGCAGTAATTAAAAAATGCATCAATTTGAAAATTGTACTCTGTTAAATTGCAATTTCAATATAAAAATGATTAACTATTCAGCCCTAGTATATGTCCACAATCTAATCCACTTGATGCTTGACATCTTGTTCATGAAGCAGTGGAGAAGTCCAAGCCTTGTAAAGCAACAGTAATGAAAGACAGGAATCATATAGTGATGGTAATGATGATAACAGTAGTACTTAAGTCAGCTGTGTTTCATTATCAAAAGAAGTAGAAACAGAAATCTAAATCACAGCAGACTGAAACTAAATAAAATGAACACAATTGAAACTAACTAAAATGTTAGTTTAGTTTTTATGATGAATAAGTGATTCTAAAAACAGTGCTATGATCCTGTATATCACTGGCTATGAGCTCTGTGATTACTAATACTTGAAGTAAAATTCGTTCTACAATTTTGTTGTATTTACTTGTGTGGTTTTATGTGCCAAAACAGTTGTAGTTCATCTTTTGTGGTCATTATAGAACCTCTCTTTATTCCTTAAAATGAAATAGACTGTTTTTATACTGTGATCTGTGTAAATGAGCTCTTTTATGATTGCCTACCCTGTTTTTTCCTCATTCAGTACCAAAACATTCTTTATAACTTCAGTGTGAATGCTGTGGGATAAATAGGTGTGTAAATATGTTGCCTTTTGTGACATCACAGAAACATTGACTTCTACGTGGGCTGCATTTGCAGCTTAGTCTCCAATCATGGACTGTGTGGGCTAAAGCGTGAATGGTAGGTTTTGAAACTTTAACAGTGTTTACATACTAGATCGAGCTCTTTATCTCAAATAAGTGTGGAAAATGTGTTTATCTGTGACATGGGCCCTTTAAAATATCTGAAAATAAGAGGATGTATAAAAAAACAAAAACAAAACCAAGGAAAACACATATAGAAATTACTACTTTACTTTAAAAGCTCTGTTATAAACTCTTGAAAACTACATTGAAAATCTATTATAATAAATTATGAACCCTTATAACCTTTATATGTATAAGTGTAAATGTAAGAGCACCGAACATGTTGTTTTTTCTACTAAAACAATCATTTCAGCATTGATCAGTTCTGATAGGGATCATTTTGACAACTAGTTTTTAGAGTTCTTGGGTTGAAACATGTTTGGAACATGACTGTGAACTGTTTCCAGTTCTTAAATGTAAAACACATGCTGACATGCTTGAAACAACTTTAGTGTTGGAATCCAACTGAAGTATATTTTGCAGAGAACAGCTGGATTGTGTTCACATTGCTGTAGACAACAGGAGTGTTTATATTGTCCTCCGGGGAGGCAGGCATAGTGATGCAACCTAAACATGAAGCTACTTTGATTTTCCATACTCACTTCCCCTGCATGAAGACAGGCTTCATCTTGTGTCCAGGGAAGACATGAGATGAATTTTAATGGACACATTCCTGAGGCTCTGAGATAAGCCATCAGACAATGCATTCCTTAAAGGGCCCGTAAAATGGATAACCAAAATTTTCTCACTTTTTTTGTAGTCATTTTCTTTTATGGAGCAAAAGTTTCAAAACGTACCATTCAGTGCCCAGTCCATACAGTCCATATGTAAAAACTAAGCTGCAAAACTAGCCTATGTTGATTAATTGTTTTTGTGACATCACAAACACCAAAAGGTGTTGTTTACTTATATCTGCCTATTTAGTCCACAGTAGTTTAGCTCCGCCCATTCTCACTGAAGTTATATGGAGTGTCTCCGCCTGGACTGCTTTTTGAGTGAGGCACAATACAGAGCAACCATTCGGATCAGAGGTCATCTACATGTATCCGTCTATTCAGCCAATGGCAGTTTAGCGCCGCCCCGTGATTTTACCACCAGCCGGATATATTTAGTCTTTTAGCTTGCATATCCATATTAAACATTTTCTGGATAGCAAAACTATGGATGCTTTGGAAGTCTTCCAACCGTTTACTTGCTATGGGTGGCAGAACTTTTTTCTATTCTCTCTACACCAGGAGAAACAAAATAAA